ATTTAATTAATTTCTGTGTTCTCCTTTCTATTTTTTTAGATCAAATCTATTTAATGCATTCCTGAATCTAAAATATCCTGCCTTAGTTAAGACTATAAAATAGTCATAACGTGAGCATAAACAAAAACTGTTGGTTAATCTGGTCCTGAAATTTTTTCTACCTTCGAATCCTATATATTTAAATAATGTGAACAAAAAAACTAATATTGGCACATAATTTATGAAATAATCATGTTCTGATTTTCACAAATACTAGACCTTGCATTTGAAAGAGAATTGACTAAATTCAGATCAGATATTACTAAAATATACAAAGTTTCATCAGATTTATGCAATTGTATTTTCTACCTACTTCAGCTGTATTAACTTATTAATGACTATAAATTAGAATAACTTATTTACCATAATTGTATGTGCTTCAACAGTAGATAAACAAAAGTCTGAGCTATTCCAGTGTTATCTAAACGAAACGTTGGCAAATGTTTTCTGTAAAGAGTCAGATAGTAAATATCTTAGGCTTTTGGCGCCATACAGTCTCTGTTACAACTTACTCAACCTTGCTGTGAAGCATGAGGCAGCCAGAGACAATATATAAACAAACAAGCATGGCTATGTTCCAACAAAACTTTATTAAAAAGTACGTGGCAGACTGAATCGAGCCTAGACCGTAGTTTTCTGACCTCTGATCTAAACAATTAAACATTGTTTTATTGAAAGGATTTTTGTCAGAGTCCCTTTAATTACCAATGAAATAAACATTAAACTTTTGAAGCAAAAATCAGACGGTATTGTTGTGTTTTACTTTTCCAGAAATCAGACCCAGGGGAAGAACAACCATCTCTGGTGGCCTAAGAGCTTCTGCCTGATTAAGCCAGGGATGTGAATATACTGAAGCCAGAAGGGATAAATTTAGATGCACTAGAAAGAATACACTGCTCCTTGACCAAAAATATCTCCTATCTGTTGATAGAAGCTTAAAATTCTGAAACTTTTCATGCTACCATTTCCTAAATTAAAAGGAAGATATAAATGTCCTGTCTTTTGAATTTTGATGGAAGAAAATGTGATAGCAAGAATGGAAAACTCAGTAAGGGGCTAGATATCAGAATCATCTACCTCCCTCAAAATTTTGCTTAAATCTGACTCTCAGCAACAAAAAGCAAAATCTGTATTTATATCTTTATCTCATGTCACTCCTGATTCTAAAACAGTAATTTGATGCCACAGTTTTAACATTGATGCTCCATGGTCATATACAACAGTCACCAATAAGATATAATAATTTTGAAAATCAAGCAAATTTACAAATGGTAAAGCTCCATATAAACATGTTACTGTCACCACACAGTAGACAGAGCACTCGAAATAGAAGTCTTACCACTCTAGATGGTTTTCTTCTGTTGACGCGCTAGCAGTCAATACTATATAATGTCTACGAAGAATTTTCAGCAACAATCAGGAAAAAAGAGCCAGAAAAATTGTTAGGGTCTGCTTTTCCATCATCCCTTTCTTTTTTTCCTCTCTCCCAATGAAAGAAAAGCTAATACAGGCACATAGTTTATGAAAATTAAAACATGCTGCTTTTCATAAAACTAATGCTAGATCCTACAATTAAAAAACGATTCACTTTTAAAAATCACTAATACTAGATTAGATATTACTAGAATAAAGAAACTCTTATCACTTAGGATTTCTGTTTAACCTATTCTCTACCTTGCTTAAGAAATATAAGTAACAGCTGTCACCTCTGATATATCAACTCTAACATTCTTCTTAAACACACACACACACACACACACACACACACACACTACAAAATTTCAAATACCTATACTTTTGAAAGAAATTTGGTGGCTCAAGTAGTTTGGACCAGTCTGATTTCCCTTGAAGAATTTCATCTGTGACTGCCAGACCTATATAAAAAAAAAAAGGTTGATTTTCAAAATTGACCAGCTCTTAAATCACTATACCCCCAAATCTCAAACCCCACCAAATTCCTGAGTAACAAAATGTAAATATATTATGCTGTTTCTCAGAACACAAAAAATTAAATTCAACCAGATTGGGCTGGCTCCACTTTTGGTCTTAATATTATCATGTATGCTTTGGAAAACTAATTACTACGGGGGAAAAAAAAACGTGTTTGAGAGATTTTTTTCTTTCTTTTTTAAGAGACAGGGTCTTGCTCTGTTGCCCAGGCTGGAGTGCAGTGGCTGTGATCATCGCTCACTGCACCCTCAAACTCCTGGGCTCAAGTGATCCTCCTGTCTCAGCTTCCTGAGTAGCTGAGACTACAGGCAGATGCCACCACACCCAGCTAATTTTTTTCATGTTTTTAGAGACAAGGTCTTGCTATGTTGCCCAGACAGCATGGAACTCCTAGCCTCAAGCTATCTTCCCGCCATAGCCTCCTGAGTCACTAGGATTATAGGCATGAGCCACCTTGCCTGGCTGAAAGCATTTTTAGTAATAATGGGTGTTATATAACTATAACTGCCAACCTACAGCTGCGGTAGAGAATAAAATTGTTGTCAACCAAAAACTTGTGGGAATATGTAAAGGGCAATAGGGCCAACATGTTTACCTTGTTTAAATTCTTCTACCATTACTGTTCGAGTTGATGTGGACACATTATACGTAGAATTCTGTTGTGGGTAGGCAGGGGTGATTATGGGCATGAGATGATACCTATCTGATGGATTTACCTGTGAAATTAGAAGCAGAATAATTGATCTATTCTCCTATTTCAGTTGTCCTCACTTCATTTCCCCAAAAGTCTGAAGAATATGAAATATAAATTTAATACTACATTTCCTCAATTCTAAGACATACACTTCCTCTCCTCCACTACACTTATTTCTAAACTCAGATGTGTCTGATAGTCAAAGTCAAGGGAAACTATGCAGTTTATTTTTCCTCAGAAAAGCTGTTACATTGATGGTATATCTTATAAACAATGATCTTTTATAACAGAATCAAGGAAATACAGTATCATAACTGCAAAATGCATTATCTGGTCCACTGGTTCTCAGTCCTTGTTCTGCACTCACTACTCAATGGATGACTTGCCCTTGGTTACCAAGAGGAATGAGCACACACTCTAAAAACAAACTAAAATGCAAGGTAGGTGAGAATTATGCTATCTTAGAATCATGAATCTGCTTTAAATTGTACTGCAAAGTAAATCTTTTATATACCTCAGTACTTTATTATTAGTAACTAACTACTTGTGAGATAGTTTTTCACAATGGATAACATTGTGGTTGATATGCCCACTTGTCTTACATGGGCAATTTTTAATGACATAACATTTGGATTAGCATTAGTGATCCAAATCATCTGCACCAAAAAACCCAACAGAGGGAGGAAAAGGACTATAGTTATACAGAACTAAGATCAGCAGGGACCAGAAGAATTATCTTTAACTAGACTGTAATTCAGAGAAACATCCTTTTCCTAAAAGGTTTAAGGAAATTCCATAATAAACCACATACCCGAGGATCCCAGACAGGCAAATTCAAATTGCTTTCTTCTGGTTGCTTCAGCAGCACAGGGTTTGGCCATTCCCTAACATGAATAAAGCAAATTAATTCACACACTATATGAAACTTTAAAATCTTTAGATTATTCCAACCTTCATACAGTAAATGTTCGATCTTAAAAAAGACAGGGTTTCAGTATAAAAAGAAAAGGAAGGGAAGAAAATATATGATGGAAAGCTTGCTTATTTTAATGTGGTGTTCTCTGAAAGGGCAAATATTACTTTGTCCATTAGCTATAACTAATTTACACTGGAATCTTTCTTTTCCTGCTCATTTGCTTTCATGGGTTTAATTTTGATAATTTAATAGCAGCAATAGCTAACATTTACTGAAAATACTAATAAATGTGGTAGCTATGATTATCATCTCCATTTTACAGATAAGGAGAACTTAAACAACCTCTACATAGCTAGTAATTTGCAGAGCCAAATCTATTGTAACTATTTTTCCAAGTTAAAGACCCACAGTTGCAGATCCCTGGAAGAATGTGCCATCTGGATGTCCCTCCATTGCCTCAAATTTAATATGTTTTAAACTTTTAATTTAAAAAAGGCTATAAAACAACAGAAAAAGTCTATGCATAGCTCTTAAATTTCCAAACAAATTTACACATTGGCAGAAGTTAGTAGTGAAAGTACACATATCAATACTTACCACTTGGAAAAAACTAAAAAGAACTTATGAACTAAAGTAGAGGCTGCTGCATTTGGATATAATTGGCAAGTTCTTGCAACCAGCATTGCCCAGGAGACACCACCAAGGAATCCCAGCATGTTGGAATAAATACCACGCCCTAGAAAATTAATATGTTTGTTAATTATTGTTAGGACTTATTATCTGTAACATTCAACAGGATAACTTCATTCTTAAGACTTCTGCTTAGAACTTTTCCCCTACAAACACATTAAAACTGATAAGCAGACCTTCATGCTAGGCCCACAGTCTATCAGTAAACCATAAGGTGCTTATCTTACCCCTTTACTTTGCCCTCTAATACAGACACTTCAGTTCTCTGCCTCAGTTTCAACTGCTCAACTGAGCTCCACTGATATTACACTGAAACCATCCATCTTTCAATATTCAAGATTGAGAGAGAAATGAAAGGAAGGAGGAAACACATCTGGAAAATTTACAAGTAGGGAAGAACATTTCACTAGTAATCACATTCATGGGTATTTTAAAATCAAGTGTAAAGTTAGGGACTAACTTCAGTATTTCACAGAATTTGGCTCTCTCGCCATAAAGAAGGATACACCACTGATACTACTCATTTCTCATTACTGTTTCTTACAGCCATCTATTTTATGTCCCACTAAATGAGAAAGAAAAAAATACAAAATACCAATTTTCTGGTATGTTAAATATGAAAAATATGCACCTAAGAGTTGACAAAATATGGTATTTAATCTGTAAGGAAAAACAAATTGTGTTATCTCTTCACTGCAAATTACTTTATCCTAACTATACAAGATACTTGAGCCCAAGGACAAATTCTATATAAGGTCTTTTTAGACCTATACCGTCCAATATGGTGGCCACGAGCCGCATGTAGCTATTTAATTCTTTTTTTTTTGAGACAGAGTCTCACTCCGTTGCCCAGGCTAGAGTACTGTGGCATCAGCCTAGCTCACAGCAACCTCAAACTCCTGGGCTCAAGCAATCCTCCTGTCTCAGCTTGCTGAGTAGCTGGGACTACAGGCATGCGCCACCATGCCTGGCTAATTTTTTCTATATGTATTTTTAGTTGTCCAACTAATTTCTTTCTATTTTTAGTAGAGACGGGGTCTCGCTCTTGCTCAGGCTGGTCTTGAACTCCTGAGCTCTAACGATTCACCTGCCGTGTTGGCCTCCCAGAGTGCCAGGATGAGCTAATGTGCTCGGCCTAACTCTTTTTATTTATTTGTGAACGCTTTATTGAGATATAATTCACATGTTGTAAGATTCATCCATTGAAAGTATACAATTCAATGGTTTTTAGTATATTCAGAATTGTGCAACCATCACCATAATCAATTCTAGAGCATTTTTATCACCCCAAAAGAAACCTTTAACTGCCATTTCTCCTCCCAGCCCTAGGCAACCACTAATCTATTATATTTTCTGTTTCTACAGATTTGCCTATTATGGACATATAAAGGGAATCATATAACATGTGGTCTTTTATGAGTGGCTTCTTTTATTTAACATAATGGTTTCATGGTTCATATATGTTCTGACATGTATCAGTCATTCTTTTTATTGCCAACTAATATTCTACCCATTTATTAACTTACGGAAATGCAGATGTTTCCATTTTTGGCTATTATGAAGTATGGTGCTATGAATACCTGTATACAAGTTTTTGTGTGAACATGTTTTCACTTCTCTTGGACATTACATGATTTTAAATTTACTGAAATAAAATTTTAAAACTTCAGTTCCTCAGTTGCACGTGAAGTGCTCAAAGGCCACACGTTTATGGTATTTGACAGTGAACATATAAAACATTTCCATAATCATAGAAAGTTTTATTGGAGAGTGCTGTTTTAGATTATGTAAAATCTGGTGCCAGAAGTATAGCACTATTTAAATGTAAAAGCATATCTTGTTTTATTGTGCTTTGCTTTGTTGCATTTTGCAGATACTGCTTTTACAAATTGAAGGTTTATGGCAATGCTGCATGGAGCAAGTCTACCAATGTCATTTTTCCAACAGCATGGTGCTCATTTCATGCCCCCGTTTTGGTAATTCTCTCAATATTTCAAATATTTTCATTATTATATCTGTTTTGGTGATCTGTGGTCAGTGATCTTTGATGTTACAATTGTAATTGTTTTGGGCTGCCAAGAACTGCACCCACATAAGATGGGGAACTTAGTTGGAAAATGCTGTGTGTGTTCTACCTGCTCCACCAATCAGCTAGTCCCCCGTCTCTCTCCCGCTCTTTGATCTCCCTATTTCCTGACACAATAATGTTGAAATTAGGCCAATTAATAACCCTACAAAAGACTCTAAGTGTTCAAGTGAAAGAGTGGCGCATCTCTTACTTTAAATCAAAAGCTAGAAATAATAAAGCTTAGTGAAGAAGGCATGTTGAAAGCCAAGAGAGGCTGAAAGCTAGGACTCTTGCACCAGTTAGCCAAATTGTGAATGCCAAGGAAAAGTTCTTGAAGGAAATTAAAACTGCTACTCCAGTGAACACACAAATAATAAGAAAGTAAAACAGACTTATTGCTGATATGAGAAAATGTTAGTGGTCTGGATAGAAAATCAAGCCAGCCACAACATTCCCTGAAGCCAAAGCCTAAACCAGAGAAAGGCCCTAAGTCTCTTCAATTCTGTGAAGGGTAAGGAAGGTACAGAAGAAGTCTGAAGCTAGCAGAGGCTGGTTCATGAGATTTAAGGAAAGAAGCCATCTCCCTAACAATAAAAGTGCAAAAAGTAAAGCAGCAAGTGCTGACGTAGAAGCTGCAGCAAGTTATACAGAAGATCTAGCTAAGAGATCATTGTTGCATGTGGCTACACTAAACAATACATTTTCAGTGTAGATGAACAGCCTTATACTGGAAGAATATGCCATCTAGGACTTTCATAGCTGGAGAGGTGAAGTCAATGCCTGGCTTCAAAGCTTCGAAGAACAAACTGACTCTCTTGTTAGAGGCTAATGCAGCTGGTAACTTTATGTTGAAGCCAATGCTCATTTACCATTCCAAAATCCTAGAGCCCTTAAGAATTATGCTAAATTTATTCTGCCTGTGCTCTAGAAATGGAATAACAAAGCCTGGAGGACAGAACATCTATTTACAGCATGGTTTACAAAATATTTTAAACCAACTGTTGAGATCTACCGCTCAGAAAAATATGACTGTTTGATGCACCTAGTCACCCAAGAACTCTGATGAAGATACACAAGGTGATTAAAGTTGTTTTCATGTCTGCTAACACAATATCCATCCTGTAGCCTGAAGATCAAGAAGTAATTTTGACTTTCAAGTCTTATCACTTAAGATATTTATTTCATAAGGCTATAGCTGCCATAGATAGTGATTCCTCTGATGGATCTGGGCAAAGTCAATTAGAAACCTTCTAGAAAGGATTCGTCTATGGCCATGCCACCCTGAACACACCCTGATCTCGGAAGCTAAGCAGGGTTGGGCCTGGTTAGTACTTGGATGGGAGACTGCCTAGGAATACCGGGTGCTGTAGGCTAGTATATAAAAAAAAGAAAGAAAAAAAAAAGATAGAAAGGATTCACCATTTTCGTTTGTTTTGTTTTGGGGGTTTTGCTTTCTTTATTCTTGTCTTCTTTTTTTTTTTTATTTCTTTGT